CGCTCTTCCGATCTCCCCAAAACCCCAAAACCCCATTACACTTGATTTTTGTATGCAAGTTGTGAAAATAAATAGTGCATTAATATATACTTAATATGCAGAATAAATTTATGGCTATACTTGATTACCTGAAACTTATTTAAATAGATTTTGAGTTAAGTTTAAACTTTTGAAAATTAACGCGTATTATTTGGAGGATAGGCATCATATGTTAACTCTTACTATGTGACTAAAATTGTTTGCATGAGCAAGACCTATTCTCATTCGTAAATAACATAATTTGGCTAAGAGCCGTCCTTGTATGGATAGAAGTTTCTCTGTACAAAATCAGATCTCCAGTGCCCATCATCACAATAAACGGTAATATGACCGTGAGGATGATCTTTACTTCCTTCCATAACTGCAACGTCTCCAATTTAAGCCTAGGTATATGACTTTAAAGTGCTTGTATATCCTTGCATTACCAACCATGGGCCGTAGTCCTTTGCAGATTCAATGCCTGTTGGCTCATCTGGTAAGCCTTTTGCCAATTGAACAGCTTCTCTTACAAACTTGGCACATTTTCCAAGAGAAGACTGGCCAGCTAATTTCTTGATTTAAACGTTTGTTTGATATTTGAATGTTGCACTTTAAACTTGAGTTCTAAAGGTATCTTGTTCGTGGCACTCATAGTGATCCTCACATCGGTCTGTGTCAAGAGATATCATTCCATAAGGACATGGTTCTGGATCTTGATCTGGCTCAGCGCAGTAGTGATTCTTTGGACACTGTTTATAGCTAAGAGCATTAAGCCTAGTCTGGTAGCATCCATATGGGACCTTCAAGCATTGATTGTCCTTTATATAAGTACCTGGTGCACAGACGATATCAGCGCTAGCTATAATAGGTATCACTGAGACCAGCAAAATCTTGTATAACATTTTTAAAGTAAAATTTAATTTAATTATTTATTAGAGGATCCAGAGCTTGTTTTAAGAGTTAAAACTTTAATTCAGGACTTTTATTTATTTTTTCATATATATTTTACGAATTATTTTTTAAGAAACTAATTACACTAATTTGGGGTTTTGGGGTTTTGGGGTTTTGGGG